AATCTAAAAGAGGCATAAGTTGAAGTGTGTTCCTGGAAGCATTATCCTTAATAACAACAGAGAGCACATCCTCACAGCCTGAGACACTTTCAGAGGTGATTCATTCCTATTCCCCATTTCATCTGGCATTGCGGCTCTCTGTATGCGATACGTCGGCCTCCACTTCAGAAAAGACAGTTAAATAAGACACCATTGTGGTTCGTGTATAAACTATGAAGTGGGCAAAATAAAGGGGAAATGTAACAAGATAACATTTTTTTCCATGTTATATATATATATATATATATATATTAGGGGTGTAACGGTACACGTACCCGTACCGAAATTATTCGGTACGGGCCCTTCGGTTCGGTACAGGTGTGTACCGAAGTGTACCGAACGAATATAACGTTAAACGTAAAAAATTGAAAACGTGAACAACTTTTTGGAAGTAATCTCAGGTGCTGCGTCGCAGCATTCAGAGTAATTTGCTCACATTGTGTTCAACGCGTCATAGAGCGAGCAGGTCATTTCATTGGATGAGAGGCATACTATGAGAGCGGGTCAGAGGGATGCGTTCAAATGTAGTCAGTAATTTGAGGAACTGTCGAAAATTAATGACGAACGCAGATAATGTTGAGCTAGAAAATCCTCCAGCATCATTTAAGTCTCCGGTTTGGGAACATTTTGGTTTTGCAGTTACGAACAAGGATGACGGACAAAGACAGGTGGACCGAACCAAAGCTGTTTGTCGGCATTGTTCAACTAACATTGGTTACGCGGCTGGCAATACATCAAACTTGCACACTCTTGAAAAGGCATCACTCGAACGTGAATATCACCGGTACCAAAAGAAAAAAGACTGAAGTGCAAACCCAACTCCCGCTAGCATGTAAGCCTCCACCACTCGCAGAGAGTTCAGACCGAGCCAAAGCTATTACAAACGCCAAATATCCTTATGTTGCCATGTTAGCAAAGCGCTACCTGGCTGTATCTGCTACCTCTGTCCCTAGAGAGAGGGTGTTCTCCACAGCAGGAGACATTGTTAGTGCCAGCAGATCTGCCCTTTCAGCAGCAATGTGGACAAGTTCATCTTTCTTTAAACAACATGAAAATACAATGACAAGCAAGTCCTAATGTCAAACTGGCTGCTTAGGTACAGTACAGTTCAAATACAGATTATTTCAGTTCATCGAAATGCTGCACCTTAATGTTCATTTTATTATATTTTGTATTTATTTGAGTGAATATTCACAGTTTAATAATAATTAAAAACCCAAAACTAATAGTTTATGTTTTGTGAGTACTAGTACAGTAAAGTTCAAATACAGATTATTTCAGTTCATCGAAATGCTGCACCTTAATGTTTATTTTATTATATTTTGTATTTATTTGAGTGAATACATTATTCACAGTTTAATAATAATAAATATATATATATATATGTTTTGTTTTGTGAAAAAAAATTCTGCTGTACCGAAAACGTACCGAACCGAACCGTGACCAAAAAACCGAGGTACGTACCGAACCGAAATGTTTGTGAACCGTTACACCCCTAATATATATATATATATATATATATATATATATATAATTAAAGTATTTGTTATTTTTCCAGAATGTAAAATGTATAGGAGACAATACAAAAAAGTTGCAATTTGTAAGATAGGGACACCATTTCAGTATTAAACAATAAACTTACACTAGCAACAGAATTTGAAGAGGTTAAAGTGTTGAACTAATGTCAAAGTCCTTATGTATTGTGTGACAGATATTTCTTTTGAAATAAGTATGCATTTGCTCGTTTCTGCCAATTCAAATTGAGTTAAATAATCATGTAAATGGTGATTACAGCCTTCAGGTTAGTTGCAAAATCACACAAATGGCTTTCGTTAATTAAAGGCTTTTTCTTATTCCTATAATCTTCTTATAAACCAAATACTGACCTTCTTGCCTTGCCAGTCTGCAGGTCCCACTCTACAATGTTAGTATCATCTGAGCCGCTGTATAATAAACCGTCTTCAGGGTGCCACTGGACACAGTTCACTCCCCCACTGTGGCCTCCATCCTGCAAGGGACAGAAAACAGTAGTTACTAGATGTTAACAAGGTATCCTATTCTTTCAAACTAAACACAAATAAAAGGAATAAATATAGCTTTCACTTAAAAGCTACAATTGATAACTTTTTTCAAAGACAGCCTTGCCTCAGATTTGCTATCATTATATCCTGACAGTAGCACATAAACCTGAATAGTTATGGAAAATATATTTTCTCTAACTCCTTCTGTATCCCTAGTAACATTTGCAAAATTCGTATCCTCCAAACTAGGTCAAACTAAGCAACATTGCTCAAATTCTAGTGAACAATAAATAAAAGCTGTTAAAGAAATGTCCCCGGCCAGTGATTGGGTTTTGCTCAAATCTTTGTAAACATGCTGGACAGGTCACCAAAAAAATGCAGTAACATAATCTTGATAAATAAAATGATTAACTTAATGAATCAAAGCCGATTAGCTTTAAAACAGATCCATAGCAGTCATTGGCACTGCATTAGAGTTTCCTTGGGTCTGATTTGTTGTTTTTCACTTAGGCTGGTGAAGATGACAACATGTTGTTTTTAAGTCAACACAGAACAGAACTATATTTTGATACAAAAAAATAATTCTTAGATTAAAAAGGTCCTTCACATGCCACAACAACATTTTGGCAATAAAATACACTTTTGCGCTTGGAAAAACATAGGAAGTAGTTTACAGGCCATGATACAGGTTCTTTAAGTCTCACTCACCAGTGTACAGTGCAGTGCTCCCTTTGCTGTACTGTAGATAAGCACACTGCCTGCTGCTGTGCCCATAGCCAACAGGTCTGCCTTCTCCTCCTGCACTGCCTCCGATTTCCTCTTCTTCCTCTGAGGTCCCTCCTGAAAACACAGCATATTTGTCATGTATAACTAACTAAACATCCACCAAAACATTATGTATTATAAAAAGATAGTGCATGCTTGGATCACTTGGTTGCAATTAATTCACTTGCATTTAAATCTCAGTCTGTTACATCAATAACTGTTTTGATATTATACCAAAAATGCATTGAAAGCTGATAAAAGCAAATACTGCTAGTGCTATCAAATGAGGTTACTCAACAACCTACTGAGAGTAGTAGAAATAATTAGAGTAAAACATCCTGGACATAATAAACACATACCATGTATTATTAAAAGCATAATTACTTGGCATACAATTTATTAGTAATAAACTACACACATATACTTTTGTGAAACGGTTTTATAAATTGCCACAGAGGCAACACTTTGTGAACCTCCACTCAGAAGTGTCATGGTGGCACACGCTACTGCGCTTTGGTGGGCTAATGCTAACTTCAATAACGAGTTTATTTGCAGTACTAACAGGTCTATATATGCTTAGAAAATAATTGGTAAGACTACTGGAGCCGCTTTAAGTATTCCTAAGACTTAGTTCGCACTGAAATAAAAAAGTAAGACATTGTCCTTCTTTTCTTCACTACCATGTGGGACTAACATGTGCGTCCTGCGCAGCTGTTGGAAGCTAGCTAACTGCTAACGTGGCTACGCTATATGTGTGTCAGAAAAATGTATGCGTCTGCGTTAACACATAGGCGAAGGTTCAAAGCTTTCTATGAGAATACTTTTTTTTAAAGTGACACTTTTACCCGTCTTATTGCGTGCACTTTAACAGGAAAGTAGCATAGGCAGCTTGCTTGGGCCTCACGTACCTTGACTGTCCGGCATGGTCCCCAGGCTATGCAGATACAGGTGGCACTCAAATGGGCTGAAGGCACGTATTCTTGGTGAAGTGTTTTGCTATCTGTGTTCCAAATGCGAAGCCTGCCATCCTGGGCACACAACGCTAAGTATTGTCGTGATTTAGGTGAAAATACGCAGGGTAACTGCAGCGAAGAGCTACCTACATCGGCCGCCATTTCTGAGCCGCTGCTTGCGTCTGCGTGCGTGGATTACACAGACCCCACGTGTGGACTGCTACGCACATGCGCGTTAGCACGTCAGAAGGACCGCCCCTCCCATTGGCTGCTGCCAGACAACAAGCAGGACTCATGCTGCCTTCAAGTCCTCCTCGTATAATAGATGGTCTGTAGTTCTTAGATTTTGAATAACTATAAAACAAAGGGTATTATACAGTAGAGTTTGGAAATTATGCCTTCTCTGCATATTTATTTAATCAGTCTGGTGGGATACTATTTTGTTAAAATGCATTGTATCAGTTGAAATGATCCCAAACCAATAGTTTTTGTTGACAAGCTCTTTTAGCTCCGGACCATAGCTCCGGACCCATAATTTGCATTCCGACGTATAGTTTAAACACAAATAAATCACTCTTTTATCAGTTATGGTTAAACGTTGAAATATATTACTCAATCAATTAATACATATAATTGATGTGTTTATTCAGAATTGTTTTAAATATGTAAGTTACCAGTCACATTCAAATAATGTGGTTTCGTTTTTGATTGAGCTCCCACAGGTTCCTTTCAGTGTTTACTGAATTGTAATGTCCATTAAGTGAATGTTATTGACTAGGCACCTTTTGATTGTATATTGCTATTCTGGATAAATCAACGAGGTAGATAGCAATACAAACAAGCCTCTGATTATTTTTTAAATCACTTCAAACCCTGTCTGCAACGTTATTGTATTTAACCCAAGCATTTCTTTTTTATTACAGCATTTGAACGCATCAACAATATATGACGTTTTCAACCTTCAAATGTAGAAGAACCTTATTATACATCCATGAGAAGAACCCCTTTTACACTTTTTGCCCGTTTGCGGGTTCACTCCCTAAAACTGGGCAGTTTCATGAATAAGCCGACGTTGCTGTTATGTGGCTCCATTAGGCCATTATGACAGAACACGAAATGACAATGAGAGTTTTGGGACCATTATGAATATGAATTGTGTATATAACGCCATCTGCTGGTGGACTTTAATTATTACACCTGGCGCTCAGTTATGACGTTTTTTCACGTGTCTATTCCGGCATGGTGACCTCCTTGAGCAGTAAACACAGCCGAGCATAGGATAAATGAAGACGAATTGTTGGTGGTTCTACTGTAAATGCAGTAAGTGTCATTTCATCCAGGATTTAAGTTATAATCACTTTGATTTATAATTTATTATGCATTTGTAATTTATTTAACAACTACATATGTCATTTTTCTAGTGCCTCTGGGTGGGTGGCATCTCCAGACATATCCTTTCCTTGTGATTAATTGGTTTTGGTATAATCTGAAGTAATGGCTATGCAAATGTCCTTTGCTGGACTCATGTTGATGCACAGACTGGTGAGAATTAGCAGTCAAAGACAACTCAGTAGCAGATTCATACTGCATAAATGTAACAGGAGGCAAACAAGGACTTTTTCAACTGCCTTTGTAAATTGTAACGAGAACAAGGGAGACGACTCGGACCCCTCACCCCTGAGCTCCAACCTGACCTTCAGGCAAGCCTTATTGTCCAAAAGGCGATCCCTGTCCCCCCTGGAGAGGATCAGCAGCCTGATGCCCCAGGAAGCCATGAGCCCAGAGGTGATGCAGCTGAGGGACGAGCAGAACCAGGAAGACCCAGAAGAAGAAGCAAACATCCACACACAAGAGGAACATGAGGCTATCCCTAAAGAGGAGGACTCAGAGATCCATCATGCATCAGATGCAGCTATGGAGACAGACGAACAGGAGGAGGACAACGGTTTGATACGACCCACCCTCCCTGGGGAGAGCTTGCTGGTGTTCGGGGAGCTGCTGGTGGCCGAGTTTCGTAAGAAAAACAGGGTGGAGTTCAAAAAGATGTTTGGCCTTGAGGCGGGGGCACGTCTGAACAGCAACTGGGGGATGATCCTGCACGATGACATAGCCGGGCAGCCCGCGGGTCGCTTCCTGAAGACGGGCAGGGGGAGTCCCATCCTCATACGGAGGCCCAGTCTGGAGGATTATGTGCTGTATATGAAGAGGGGGCCTGCCATCGCCTACCCTAAGGTACACAACTAGCAGTCCTGAGTGTCTCAAGGTGGTATTGACCTTTTCTTCTTACAGGTTTGTCTCGTTCTCTCTCTTTCCCCAGGATGCAGCTACTATGATGATGATGATGGATGTCTCAGAAGGAGACTGCGTGTTGGAGTCAGGATCTGGGTCCGGGGCCATGTCTCTGTTCCTGTCCAGAGCAGGTCACCCATCATACTGTCTTTATCTCACTTCACAGGCAACATTTTCATGTCATCTAATTTAAGAGCTTGGGCTATTTTGCATTCATGTTTTTTCTTTTTAGACCAGTTTACCAACAAGTTTCATTGTGATATCTATCAGTTATCTTTACCCTTTTTACCCGTAGTGTTCGGCAACATTTTACAATACATATGTTTTTAGGGAAGTTTTCTCAAAATGTGTTGTTTCCTAAGGCAGATATCTCCAATTAAGTCCTGTTCTGGAAATGTGTGGGAATTAGAACATATCAAATGATAAAATGCCCATCACATTTTAAGTTAAGTTTCATGATGATATCTATTTGTGAAAAGAATGACCCTATTTACATGCACGTGTCTTACCTTTAAGTGACAGTTCACATCAGTATCAAAAGTAGATACTTTTCCTCTTACCTGCCATGTTACTAAATGTACAGCACAGAAGGAACAGAGCATGAGATATAAACACTAATGGCATCATCTTTGGCTGAAGTGTAACTTTAGATAGCTGATTAGATGTCAGTTTGTTCTGCACAGTGATACGTTAAGTAGGGGAAAGAAAATAGCTCCTATATAAAACTGCTCTCACCCAAGTCTGTGGATATTCTTGAGTAACCTGGTCATGATTTCTGGGAAGAGACATTTAAGTTACGTTTTTCAAATGTGTTTTTTTGGGCGCTTTGAGCACCACAAGCCAAGTGCCATATAGTTCCATTGTATTGGAGAGAAGGCAGACATCTCTATGGCGAATATCCTCAACACTCATCATTATTAATATTATATAGGAAAACTATTTGAGCAATTCCTGGAACACTGTGTGCTATATTGAACTGTAGCAGAATTGACCTTCCCCTGTTTGTTTCTGTTTCTCCCAGTGGGCGGTAAGGGCAGCGTGCTGAGCGTGGAGGTCAGGGAGGACCACCACAAGAGAGCGGTGCTGAACTACAACCGCTGGAGGACAGCATGGAGTCTGCGGCAAAGGGAGGAGTGGCCCGACAACGTCCAATTTCACAGAGCCGACCTCTGCACCGCCTCCTCGCTCATCGCCGGTCAGGGGTTCAATGCGGTCAGTGTACAGAAACACCTGATTATATGTACTAACACTCCTGGAATTAGACTTTGTGACACCTGCATTATGTGTGTTGCAGGTTGCCCTTGACATGGTCAGCCCTCAGCTGGTCCTACCTACTGTGATTCCACATCTGCACACTGGAGCTGTGTGTGCCGTCTACCTCGCCAAGTGTGTATCTCCAGTGTCTCACTCTCTCCTTTAAAACCAGACCTAAGATAGGGCAAAAGTGCATTGGCTTCTTTGTGTAAAAGAATAGTTTTGAACGTTTTTGAAAATATGTTGAATTGCTGTCTTTCTGAGAGTTGGATGAGAAGATTGATAACACGGGATATAGTAGTTAATATATGGCTGAAGATATAGAGTTACAGCCACCATGGGGTTATATTAGCTTAGCACAAAGACTGGAAAAGGCTTGTATGAGTCTGTCCAAAGGTAGCATAACCAGCCAGCTTCTGTAAACTGCCCTACCTAACATTTTAAATCTCATACATTTCCTTTAAGTGTAAAACTGCCAAGTTTTGGTCTCAACTGGAAGCCGTTAACAATAACATATTGTTAAATGTTTTATATATTTTGTAAAAATATGCAATTACCCATCCACAATATGTCGTTTTTACACTCTTTACTACAAATAAAACAAAATATAAGCTGTTTACTAGTGCGATGTAGACGACAGAGCCAGGCTAGCTGTTTCCACCTGTTTTAAGTCTTTGTGCTAAGCTAAGCTAGCTAGCTGCTGAATATGGATGTATATTTTCCTCTCAGAAATGAGAATGTTGTTTGTTCTCTTCGAACTCTACAAGAATAGCAAAAAAAATACAGTTTGACAACCTATTTAAAGTAAGATGTGTCTTGATTTAAGTTACATTCAATTTGACATGATTCAAGGCCGAATGAAAAGGAGATTTGCAATAATTTGATTAGTGACACGACAGTGAAACCCAACCTGAACCTTTCATGATGGTCTCCCAATCATTGACGTTCCCTCCCTGTACCTCAGCATCACTCAGGTCATCGACCTGCTGGAGGGGCTGCGGTGTTTGGCGCTCCCTCTGCTCTGTGAACGCATCATTGAGGTCCCGATCCGAGAATGGCTGGTGGCTCCGGCCCTGCAGAAAGACGGGAAGTACTGTGTAAGGAAGGCCCCGGTCCCGGAGGGAGAGCAGAGGGAGGAGACAGAAACAGGTTTGTATAATATGACACAAAGATCAATGTGCTCGTCATAAAGGATCATCTTTTCCAGCCTTTCTTTACTGATATATTTCAGAGGAGACGATCACAGAGGAACCAGCAGCCTTTGGGAGTGTTCCTTACATTGCCCGGCCTCATCCTGAACAGATGAGCCACACAGGTACAGATAGTGACTCACATTTCTAGTCTGAGTCCAAGTTTGATTTTATAAATAAATTCTCAATGTCTTTTTTATTTGTAGCTTTCCTGGTGAAACTGAGGAAGTGTGAGCGGTAGCCTGTAAGGAACCTCAGGCAAAACGTCCTTACACATCAACCAAATTGTAACTGTACATAATTAAAAATAAATGTTTTTTAATGTAATTGGCTGTGTGTATGTGGAACATCATTATGCACTGTGAAAAAAAAGGTGACTGACTGCCTCTATGTAGAGATGGATGAAATACTCACTGAAGTAAGAGTAATATTTCCACATTACGGAAATATTCCGTTACAAGGATATGTCCCGCATTTAAAATGGTACTTGGCAATAAAATAAATGTAAGGACCAAATCTTAAAGTACTCATGATCCAAAGTGGCCATTTTTGGAGTATCTTGTTTCACTGGATTATAATCAGTGTTGCATTCATGTGCACATCATTATTAATTTGCAGCTGGTAAAGGATTATATCATATTATAGTTTAATTATATTTGTATTATTAATATTAACCTACAAAAGTAACTATTCTCATCAGTGAAAAGGACAAAAAATAGTGGAGTAGAAATGTGGAGTAGCCTAAAATGGAAATAAATGGATATAGTAAAGCAGATTTACTTCAAAAATGTAGTTAAGTAAAATAAATATACTTAATTACTTTCCACCACTTCATGAAAGTACAAAGGGATTAGCATCAATCTACATAAATAACAAAAGGTAAAAGTACTAATTTTGCACAATGGCCCATTTTAGAATAGAATAGATCATAAATCACTTTTAAATGGAAAGAGGAGCTTCTTATTACTATATATACACAGGCGGGTAGCTTGGGAATTCCACCAAGGGATCAACAAAGATGATCTAACTCATAACAATATATTATACAATGTTTATTTTTTTTCTAAATTAATCTGATCCTACAAAATGGCTAGTTTTTAAAACGTGTAGTGGAGTATAAAGTACCTTTGAATTGTTGAGGAAAAACAACCTTTAAAATGGTAATTCGCCACGGAGCTCACCACTAGTAAAAAGCTTTGTTTCTAAAAAAAATGTTATAAGAGACGTTGATGTTGAACATTAGAGCATAAAATAACTTTGTAATAAAGACTCAGAAAATATCAAATTGAAGCCTTTATTGAGAACTCAAGAGGCAGTGTTGGGTTATTGAACAGGCACACAACAATAGTAAAAACACAGCCGGCAGAATCCCAGAATGCAGTGGCTAACTTTGATCCTAAATGTCACTTATTTTCCTTTTGCCAATTCCTTCTGTGTATAAACAAGTGGTGGTCAAAAACAATCCCAAAGTGCTTTAGTACATAAATAAATAAATAAAGAGCTCAGTGACAAATATTTACAATACATCAGTGTTTTTGAATGTTTCCATGAGTGTGACCATGGGATGACATCAGCTCCTTTCTTTCTTTCACTTCACAAAGTGTTTGCATTCAAAGAGAAACACAAACTAGAGGCACACTTGGTATTTAGACCTTTACTTCATTGTTAAAGTATTATTGAGGAGAGACAACAACACACAGAAGCGCAGGCTCAGCATGCTGAGGCTCCGAGGCTCTACTCCTCACTGATCCAGTCCATGGAGGTGTCGTTGGTGGAAGACTCAACTCCTAATAGAGAGAAGGAAGGAAATGAAACAAAATCAACCTCAAATTGTATTAGAAGGAGTCAATATTAAAGCAATATAACATGGTATATACCAGCGACGTGCCGTCAGGGGAGGCAGAGCCTCACCTGACATACTCCAATGGAACGGAAAAACAACTAAAGAAAAACGAAATAGTAATAATAATAACATGTCTCCACTGATCTGTGTTGTAAATGTGATTTATGTATGATTCCAATCGCTTTTTATAGTCAAAATCAGCAAATTTGATGAGCTCCGCTACAACTACGGGTAGCGATGAGAAGTGAGGCAAGGACGAGCTCTGCCTCTCGTAAGCCCACAGTAACTGGCTGGAGCGCGGGCACTAATTTAACGCGGGCACTTATTTTGTGAGCGCGCTCAAGCCAGTTACTGTGGGGTGAGGTGAGGCACAGATGAGATCTGCCTCACCTTAGAATGCGTCACCCCACAGAAACTGCCTGGAAAGCGGGCCCTAAGCGCATGCCTGCACCATCTCACTGTATGTCACCAATGTAATGTTTGTAGATCCCTTTATTACATTTATCCTCGCCATCCATAGTCTCTAAATAACTTATTTCACGTATATATGATATTTAGGCTCGCCGTACAACGGCAATGAAAAAAGCACCAGGGGAGGCAGCCATAACCTCTGCCGCACTGAAGGGGGCGCACGTGAGCCCACAGGTTCTTGTTGCTACTGTTATTCTACGCAGAGACGGTAGACCAGACGCAAACAACAAACTAGACTTTTGAAACGAGAGGAAGATAAGGAGGACTTTTACAAAAAAGTAATAGAGATTGTTGTCCAGAAGGATAGCATGGACTTCATCTTCAAGTCAAGGTAAGACCACCATTGTAATGCAAATGGTATCTTACTAAGAAAGAACAATCCAATATTTAAATTGTGGGTAGGTCTATCCTTTTGTTGAACGGTCTGTTTAAAATGAATTGAAACATCAGACTAAAAAAGCTTTTGAAAATAACCGAATATTTCGATTAAGGTTGTAGAGGAAACTTCTGTGTAGCATGCAGTGGAGTCACCGACTCAGGAAGGAGACACGGGAAGAGTCGGAGCTTTGATGTCAAACCACTGTGATTTATTTGGAGTTGGTACCAGAGTATTCACATCACAAATCCAAGAGTCAGAGGTTCTGACTCCACGGTAGAGTTGCCACGTCAATTCTGGAGAGCCTCTCTCTTGCCAGCCCATCTAACTGGTTTCGCAGAGAGTAAACAACATATTTGAGGAGATAGCCTAAACAGTGTGGGAACACAGAGCTACTTGCCTCGGACACTTATGACCTCGAAGATTTTACCTTGGAGTCCACAAATACAGAGAAGGAAGTGTCCCAGTGTACCCACAACACAGACCATCTGTATCCCAGTATTGACCGGTCACAGAATGGGAACAATAACATTATTGGCTAAGCCGCCTGTGTCCTTAAAGAAGGTAAACAGACATCGAGGTTTGTCCTGTATGTTACTAATTGGCGTCTTATGATAATTATTTCCACAACAAAGGTCAAAATATAATATTTGTAAATCTGACTCTGAAAGAGTCAGTGCCTCACCAGCCATGAACCTCACCGCACGTCACTGGTATATACAGTGCGTACTAAATCACCATCTTTCCCAGTTTGACTTTCTCCAGCTCGCTCACATTTCATTTGTCAGGGGTGAAAAGTTTAAATAATATGATTTATAGGTTTATAGTTGGTTTAGGTTTTCCACATCTGATAAAGAGCCGCGTACAGACGATTCTCTACATCTCACCAGTCGGTTCTTATTTAAATGAAGACTTTATTCTATATTTTGACTTTTCTGTTGCAATATCATGAGTTAATTCTTATTAACTTACTTCTTTTCAGAGACCACTTAGATTTGCACAAAGTTTTAAACATGAGAAAAATCATTGATGAAACATGTATGAGCTACTTAATACATTATTTAAAAACACACGTATGTATTACCTTAGAACTATGAAGTGCCACATGCATGTGTAAAGTTGTTTCTTCCCAAAATTAGAGAGACACGAGCAGACGGATGAGAAGTCACCTGTGTTGACTCACCAGGAATAACTAGTTGTAGTATGATCTACACAAAATGTGTGCCCCTCCAAAGCCCTCGCGCAAACCGAAATTTGTGAGTTATTATACCAGTAATCTCTTTTTTACATTCTTAAACGATTCATTTGAGAAATTGTAAGTTTACTCGTCTAGATATGCAATACACAAGCTCCATTAAATAAATCATTTCTAAACCCTAGAAAATTACATATAAAATCAGCAATTATTTTTAATGTGCAATTATTTTGGGAGAAAACTCTTACATTTGAGAATGTTCCCGAGATCCTTAGCTTTAGTTTAACTTATCATTTCGCTTTTTGGGAAAATAAATACCTACTGGGAACCTCCTCCGCACAGCAGCAGAAGGAATGCTGCGCCTGGACCTTGGTCTCCATCGCCTTCCTGCGAGAGCCGGCCGCCCTGGGGGGGGGTGATCTCCAGACTCAGAGCCGTGGTGAATGGGTGTGGTAAGGCGGGCTTTGGGGACTGTGCAGAAGACGCTCTGAAAGGAGAAGAGGCTCCTGAGCCTGGATCTAACCTGGCGCTGCGGTCACAGAGGGCACAGGAGAACGGGGAGGAGGAGGGCCCGCGGGGGATCCGGGTCAGGCCTCGGTCCCCGTACTGCCGCTGGGCCCCGCTGTGGTGCTCTGACCGCTCGCGCTTCCACACACAGTGAGCGGACACGATGGCCATCACCTGAAGGACAAAGATGGGGAGACACAAAAACATAAATACAGCTCCATCAGAAAAAACTGAGATTGAGCTTCTGGCTTTAAACCAAAGCTATAAAAATTGCACTGTACAGCAAAAACAAGACCCTTAAAAGATTCCCGGAGAAAGCCCATCTATCACTCTCCTCAGGCAATTACACTGGTGTACCTCTTCGCAGCAGCGCCTGCTGACGGCAGCTCTGTACTCCACGCGAGCCCACAGCTTGTCTCGCTGCTTGAGGAAGCGAGGAAACTGCTTCCTCCAGTTCTTGCCCAGCGCCCATGGAAAAATCTCATATTTACTCTCCTCTTCATCCTCCTCCATGGTGTTGGCAAGATACCTAGACAAGGAGCACATGAGCGTGTTCACTTTTCTATGAGAATAACAAGATAAAAAAACTAATTGTGTTGGTTTTTCTTTTGAAACTTACAGTGCAATGAAAAAGTTCTTCCTGGTGTATTCAGGAATGGTAAAGTGAGCCCGTTTGAAGTACACGAATGTCATGGCTAGAAGGTACTGAGGAATTAGGGAGAAAAGTTGTAGGCAGTTCATTGTAAGCCTCTTAAAGCTACAGATATTTTGTCACTTTTACAAAAAGAAATTTACATGAGAATGTACCTTGTCAGACATTTTACAGCAACAGTCCATACACAGAAAGTCATTGATCACGTTGTCATCTGTACAAAAAAATCATAATCTTTTTAATATAAAAAGTGAAAAAATTGAAAATGGAGGGAAGGAAACAAAAAACAATACGAAATGCCTACAATTCTTAATTATTTCCAGTTTAAAAGTAAAACACTGAATTAATAATATATGTTTTTTATTTGGGCTGCTAATTTACCAAGAAGTCTAAAAAAAGAGGCCATTTCCTGCCGTTGGATGACAATAGTTGGGGGTTCGACCATTTTGGCATCCCGCCGCTGGCTGGGCTGGCTTTTCCCCGGCGGGCCCTGGCCGCCATGGTCGTTGGTTCTTTTGAGACGGAGTCCTCTTCTGATTTGGAGAGGGTTTGTGCTGCTGGGTTTGACTCCGACAGTTACTGATGGAGTAGCCTGGCACCAATGGCTTGTGTGCTTCATCATGTTTTAGTTCAGATCATCTGTGGTATGGTGTGTTCTGACAGGTACAAGGGGGAAATTAACAGTTTTTATCTAAGTTGTTCTTAGATAAAAACCAAAAAAAAGTTTCTTCTATCTGTTAAACAGTAACGTTTTAAAATGGTTTCTTTATTTTAATAAGTATATATATTGTTCCTGCTTGTTGTCTTTTGCAGTCATTACAGACTACACCTGAACATATCCACCCTTTAACATAATTGTAACATGTGTGACATTGTTTAACCTTTAATGTTTGTCATTTTATTTGCTTACTCTATGATATGTTTTATGTATTAGGTACAGTGGTAGAAAGTACATTTCTTCAAGTCCTGTAATAAAGTACACATTTTGTGTACTTTTACCAAAGTATTATCAGTTTATGGTACTTTATCTTTGAAGCAAATGTTGTAACTTTTACTCCACTACATTTGTTTGACAGATATATTTACCACTTACTTTATAAATTCAGATTTTGATAAGCAATGTATATAAAACTTTCAAAATATGATTATTTGGTATAGATTAAAGCATCCAACATCACAGTATATTTAAGTAACTAGCCATGAGTGGGTTAACAGAAAATCTAGTATTTATTTGGCTGCTTTTGATTTAAAATATAAAAATATTATATATTGTATTTTTCCTGCCAGGAGTACTTTTACTCGTAATACTTTAAGTACATGTTCCTAATTTAACTTACATAATTTCACTTAAATAAGACTCTTGATGCAGTACTTTTACTTTAAATGTAGTATTTTTAAAGTGTGATATTAGTACTTTCACTCAAGTAAAGATTCAAGAGTACTTTTCCCACCATTGATTATTACGTAGGTTTAACCAAGATCCCGAGGTTCACCCCATACATATCAAGTTAGCTGTCAGCCACCTAGCAAAAAAGCTAACCATTTCCAGCTTGAAGGAAGCTAATTCAAACTTTAGCTCGTGTTAAACTTTATTTCTGAACTTTCTCTGGGGAAATAACCTTGGTAAAGACAGTCTCAATGTTAAACACACCATTTAAAATGTCCTAATCAAAGTCCTTACCTTCGCGGTTATTGCTTTTGGAGTCAGTGAATGGAGCAGAGTTTAGTAATAAACTTATGTCAGCTTGACTTGAAAACTAATCAAAAGTCGACGGATTTCAGTGTTAACAACAGTGTGAGTGACACAACGGGGCAGAGCAGAGTAGCGCCAAGAGATCATATCCCTGAGAACAGGAGAATATGCTAACAACGTTAAAAAGCTAAACTGAGAAATAAATTGGTCCTCAGTTGTCAAAGGGACCAGAGAGGATGATAGTTTGGTAACGCGCTTCAGGATGCGCGCCAATCGTTCAGCAGGACACCTGCACGCGGAGACGTGATAACCAATCATGTAGCTCTCCTTCTTCTTCTACGTAAAATTAATGGCGAAACTACCTCAACCATAAACCAGCTTAAAATGAATGAACATGAAACAAAATGCAGGAATGAGATAAAGACACAAATCAGATGAAGATAACACTAAAATAACAAACTAATATAATTTGCAATATTTGTGTATTGAAAAACGCAGTATTTATCTTTCTCTAATTTAATTGTTAATCATTCAGATTAATTAATAGTTGACACTTGGTTGGATTAGTTTGTTCTATATTTTATCATATTTGTTTCATATTTCAGTAAATGATATATTACTGCACAGAATGAAGAGACAGAGAGGCCATGGAATTGTAAGGATTTGAATGTATGTTTAATGAGCATATATTGATAGAAGTTAGCAGCCTCTGCAAATGGAGAAAGCACATTTGTATTGTTATCCTTAAACGAAAATGCATTTCATGGTGAGAAAGAACCAAAATGTAGACAATGAAACATATTTTATTAGTTTCATATTCTTAATAATTGTTCCTTTTTTTCCTGTTCATTTGTGTGACAGGATTTAAAAATAAAAAGGCCCAAAAGGAAATGTTACTATATGTTTTCATTTCTTCATTTTAGTAGCTTCTACAGATTACTTGCTGTTTTGGTGAACACATGCTAGATATATAAATTAAAAGCAAACCAACACATCACCAAATGTATTTAGATATATTGTCAAATACAACATCAGTGATGTGTTTTTCTAAATCATAACGGTTTTCTGCATATCACTGAAATTGAAAATAAACTCTTTCACATTTATTTTGGCATGGTCCTAGAACTAAAGAGGGAGATATTGTTTTGCAGGCTATAAAAAGCCACCTGAAGCCAGCTCTAATTAAGCAAATGAGCTTATAGTCTTACCAGTAGGTGAGTTTTACATGCTATAACGTGACATATGCGCATGCTGAGGAGTTCACAGAAAGCCCCACTAATCCGTTCAGCTGTGTGTCCTTTGTAAGACAGAGAAGGATGAGTTTCAGAGCACGCTTCATGGATTTTTTTATAAAAATGGCCATCGAGCTCTGGATTTATTTTGCCTATTTGACAGGTGGGAGAGATTTGTAAAATGGAAGTATCAATATTTATTTTTTGTAGCATCCTAGTGGAGAGGGATCTTGTCGGACTTGACAACCTCAGCCATCTGAAAATGTCAGATACAGCAGGTGGCTAAGTACCTTGGCTATTATTTGCATCATTCACTTCAGTGCGGAGTTGGTGTTTCATCAAACGCACAAAAATCGGCTGGTATTTGAAGATATCCAAAATGGGCTGCTCACCATCCAAAGGCAACCATTTTGGGGTTCTGGGTCCCATGAGGAAGGGCAGAATGCTCCCCCCTGCACCTCAAGAAGGCCCCAGAGATTCCCACTTTGATGATGCAGAGAAGCGTTATTCAACTGGTTCAACAGATGTGGATACAAAGGAGAGAAAGGCAGCTGGACAAACCCAGGTACTTCAGAAAGAAGCTCGTATAACACCACAAAAAAAGAGATATGTGACAGAGCCAGCCCCTGAAGCAGTAAACATGGATAAAGCGGGGAGTCAAGGAATGGACAACAACACAGTTTCACAGAAAAAGGACAAAAATGTTGACAAGCAGGATGCAGCAGAAAAAAAGCCTGCCAGGAAACAAAAGAAAAATACCAGAGGTGTTAAGGGGCTTAAAAAGAAAGACAAGGAAAAACCACCTACAGAACAGAAAGTGGACTTCCCAGAACCTTTGGTAAAAGCTCATCAAGCTGCTTATGCCTTTTTAAATCCTAGCATAAACAAATATGATATTCTACTAGGACTTTTGGAAGAAGCAACCCAAACTCAGGTTTCTGTGCAGACTATGGTTGCTTTTATGGCTCTACGCTACGAGGAAATAATTCAGGGTCTTGAGGAGATGGCAGATGAGGGAGAACACGTTTTTAAAGAGAATGGAGAGCATCTTTCTTGGCCAAGTCAAATTAAAAACCTGTCATCGTCCCCACCTTCAAAGTCTGGTTCTGCTAATATTGAGCCCCCACCGGATTTGTTGCAGCAGCTGCTTCAGTACACCACACAGAGAATGCAAAATGTAAGCCAGACTGTTGGCAGTATTGGGGAGTCTGCTTTGGAGGAGGCAGTGGAATATTTTGCATCTGTCTCAGAGCTTTTAGAGGAGAAACTAAAAGTTAAACGTACAATAGAGACCAGGCTAATGCGAGTCTTGTCTCGTATTGAAATGGCCTCTCTGCGCAAGCCTGGGCCAGAGGATTCTGCTCTCTTTAGCGAGGACAGTGGTATTGGGGCTGAGAGTGAATCCCTTGCTGGATCTGAAAGACGCCTTAGACGAGAGAGTTGTGCGTCATCTGGGACAAATAGAATGACTCCTGTCAGCCCAATGGAATACAGCTCCATGAACAGTAGGCAAGAAGCATCCAGGCAAAAGATTGGAAGTCAAATAAGTCCAAGTGTTTCCCTCACATCACTTAACTCACTGGGTTCAGCTTGTACCATAATGGCTAATAACAAAAGAGACTCATTGCTAGGTTCAGTCTCCTTAGATTTTGGAGAGGATGACGACAATGATGATGATCATGATGATGATGATGATGATGAACAGATAGGTAGCTGCATGGTAGATGTAGCGTTTAGAAAGCGATCAAATTCTTCACCTTTAAACCGGGAACAGCTACAACCACGCCGTCTACCCCCAAAGCGAATAGAGAATCCTCAAAATGTCGAAATGACTCTAAGAATGAAAAATGCTATAAGTGGTAGGATACAATTTGTCCCATCGCAGAATGCTGGAGCCAAAACCAAGGTAGTTGGCAGCCCAAAAACCAGTAGACGCCAGTGGACGGACGAAGAAAGGTCTCCGAGGAGGCCTCAAACCACAGCACCTACTCGGAAGGCAGCGGTAAAAAAGACCCCTGTGTCTAAAGAGCGACGTTCCCAATCAGAAGAATCCTTACGGAGCAAAGCGGAAGATCCTACTCTGCTTGAACTAGAAAGGACACAGAAGGATTTAGATCAGAGGTTGCAAAGAATGGGTAAAAGCAAGCCAGGAGGACACATGAAGACTGCCCCACCGAAACAAAATCAAGGAACCTCACCAGCACAATCTCCAGCAAAAAATCGCAAACATCCCTCACTACAAAAGAACAGCAATTCCAAACTAATTGATGACAAAGCAGTCCTTACAAGGCGCAACAGTAGAAAACTGGAGGCAGCAAGTGTGGTGGAAGATGATAAACTGAAGGACAAGAAAACATCTAAGGGTCCTATAAAAGCCACCCCACCCCCTAGCCCTCCTGCATCACCACGGCCACCTTCAGGCCTCTACAGAGGCAGGAAGTCAGTGAAAAGACTGATTGATACCTTCAGTCAAGGAATAGAGGATCTAGAAGTTCCTAAAAGTCTTGGGCCTCTCATAGGAGTAAGGAAGTGTGGCGTTCCTGTGTTGCCAGGTTTAGGGAATGTAGAAGCCGTGCTGAGCACCGGAATAACCAGCTGTAGACCTGATTCCAGGTCATTTGAGAAAAACAATTATTTAGATCTAGATAGCCTTCCTCCACCTCCACTGGAAGTATTAATGGACAATTCCTTTGAACATGCCCAGAGTCTTTCATCTTGTGTATCAGATGAATGCGCTACAAAAGTCGGAAAGTCACCTCTATTAAAAAGGGTTCCAGTATCACAACGACTGAGGGCCTCTGTTCAGTCAGTGCTGCCAAGTAAAGGAGGCCTTCCACAAACTTCCAAGGTAATTTCAGTTGATAGACCAGATCAACCCGATGCATCTACTTTGTCAAAGTTAAGCCAGCCAGATGTCCAAATGGAAGCAGACCCGGGAAAGGAAAATGATTCCTTGTACCAGCAAGAGAGGAAGATCGTACACCTAAGAAACTCTTCAGACTCAAAAGGATTGTCAAAAAATGATGTAGCAACAAACCTATCTTCCAGTCAAGAAGAAACAGCCGACATACAAGATGGAGGCAACCTTTCAGTGCCTGAATCTAACACTACAGTGCCTCCTTACACCGTGGTAAGGAACCAACAACCAGCAACACCACCCTTGTCTAGGGGGCGAATGTTACCCTCCACACCTTCTGCAACAAGCAGTGTACATCGAAGACTTCCCAGTCCCCATAACATCAAAAGACAACCTACTCCACCTTCTTCAGCAAGCCCACCTGTAAACAAGAAACTCTATACACCACCATCATCACAGGGAAGACTTTCCAGCCCACCTGTAACAAAGCAGAATTTTTTTAAATCAAATTCATCCTCCTCCTACCCTTTCAAAGCACCTTCTCCACCAGCTTCGCCAAAAGTACAAAGATGGTCAAGGGAGAACAGCAGTGAAGATTTAACTAGTAGTCGGATGCTCAGTAATGCACGTTCAGTCTTCGGCCCTTCATCCCCATCCCTGTTTGAGGCCCAGCCTTGTCCAGTTCCTCATCCCCCTCAAGCGTGGACCTCTACAAGGGTTTCTTTTCTCTCACGTTCTTTTGAGAATCGTGGGAGGTTTCCTGTGTCTGCTCAAGGACCTCGATCCTTTATCCGACGTAGCCATTCGGACCGAAGGCCAAGTCTGAATCAGCCACCAAGATCCCCAGGCATCTCGGTGGCTGAGACTTGTGGGAGTGAGCCATCATTAAACTCACAGGGGTAAGTGTTTATGTTTATATGTTACACTTCCTAAATCCTTAAATATAACTTCTCATTAAATCTTTTGTAGTGGTTTTATTTTACTTTTTGTATGGTAAAGTGTTGATTTCACTAGCTCACTGTTACATTGCTGAGTTACCTCAAACATTTCTGATGTACAGAGTTCACATGTAATTGTAATGACTACATGAACTTTTGATGCCGATCAAGGGGCTGGTGGAAGTTATCTTTAGCTTTATGCACATAATATATGAAGAGTACATTG